CAAACAGGAAATGAAATTCAAACGTTCGCGGGGCTTTTCCTGTCTACCTGGTCAGTGCATCTGAGTTGAGAATGCTGTCCAGAGCGGTCACAATGAAGCCCTGTGGGATACCTCCCGGAGGCCAATAACATCGAATTCTGTCCAGACTACCCCAATTCCGACCCGCAAATGCCGATTTTATCGCTAATCCCCTCGTCGGAGGTGGTGTAAATAAACCAGTTTAAAGGGCCCTTTAAGTCGAAAGAAAGGGCTTCGTCGTGTGAACGTGTCCAGACTTAATTCGATTTAACGCTGCTAAAGTCGACCTAAACTCGTAGTGTAGACCAGGCCTTAGGCTCAATCTATTTATCGTAACAAAGTAAAGGTTAAGGTGTGATTTGATCACAGTCTATCAGTATTTACACGAGGAACAGGGATTTGATAATAAAGGGCTCTTCGGTCTAGCAGAGTAAGATATAATAAACTCCAATGGCTAGAAATTGAAGCCAGACAAATTGCAACTGGAAATAAGGTGAAATTTTTGACAGTGAGGGTCATTAACTCTTGGAACAACTTACCAAGAGCCGTGGTGGATTCGTCATTACTGGACATTTTAAAATCAGGATTGGCTGTTTTTTCCCTAAAAGATCTACTCTTGTTCAACCACAGCTATTGGACTGGAAGCAAGAATTAATTCAGGCAAGTCCTATGGCCCGTGTGATGATGCAGAAAGTCAGGCTACATGCTCACAGTGGTCCCTGCTGATCTTAAAATCTATGCTGTATCTCGCTGAAGCCTTAATGATCATTATCAGTTGTATTGTGGTAGCCCTTCGCAACCCTAGCCTCAGTGTGAAATGTGCTTTCAGCCCAACACCCAGCAGTAGAATAGAGCTTCTCCTCATTTCAGTTTCCCAGGATCCATCCTTGGCTGTCCAGCGGCTGCTGCAGACATCAGGAGAGGAAGAGCTCAACACACAAACATTGGATTATTATTTATTTATTGCTATTCCAGTAGGACCTACTGATCCCAATGGAGGTCAGGGCCCGCACTGTACAGACATATAGCAAGAGCCAGTCCCTACCCCCAAAGAGCTGGTAGTCTAAATAACCACAACAGAAATAGAGTGGGAAAATGAACCATTAGCTCTACTTTGCAGACGAGGAACAGAAGGATCAAGTGACTTACCCAAGGTGACATATGGTGTCTGTGGCAGAGCTGGGACGTCAACTCAAATCTGCTGAATTGCAGTCTAATGCTCTATACACAGAGCATCCTTCCTCCCTTTGCCAGAAACAACTTTTGCCTATTTTGCGAATACACTTTTTGTAAGTCTGGCTGATGTTGAAGTTACGTTTTTCTAGTGCAATTGACAGAGAGGTCATGAATGGGTGTGAGATCCTCACTGACTTTCTAGAATTTGTGATTCAAGTTATTGTCCACTGATAGAGAAATTCTCTGGTCCCGCATGAATGTATCTTCTGTGGACTGCTGCTGCCTGGAGTAATTCCCAGTTTCCTAAACTGCCTTAGTAAGGCATATGCAGTGTTGTTGTAGCCGTGTTGGTTCCAGGATATTAGAGAGACAAGGTGGGGGAGGTAATATCTTTTACTGGACCAACTTCTGTTGGTGAGAGAGACAAGCTTCTTCAGGTCTTGGAATACTGCAAATACCAGGTGGAACAGATTGTTTAGCATAAGTAGTTACACACATTTCAAGAGACCATGCAAGGTGAAGTAAGGTTTGACTGTTTCGTATAATTAATTGAAAGAGGAACAGAAATATGTCTGCAAATCTGGGCATTTCAATGTGGCCCATTCTATTTCAGAGCCCTACTTAGCCCCCCTGATTCTTACTGTGGAAATGAGCCAGAGAGATCACAGCCAACTGCCTGCTTTAAATTACAGCCTGCAAGGTGTGGCACTCATCTGGAGTTTTCCCAGACCACACCCATGTCTGTCAAAGACCACATCCACCTTTTCTGGCTTCACTGCAGACTTCCTAGAACTGCTTTTCAGCTTGCATTGCACCAACGCGGAGTCAGTCTCAGCTCCCCATGAGCAGGGTCCCCACCTTGTGGGCACATGGAAACATAGAGGCTGGGAGACTCTTCCCAGATCCTCTAAGGTTGGCCTTAATTACTGCCATTTTGCTTATCCCTACAATGAAGCCCCTTCCAAGCCTGCCCACACTGTACGTATCATGTTGTTAAAACAAGCCACTTAGCTTCATTATAGGTGTAATCACCATAAACACTTCCCCAATGGATCCTAGAGGAGTTTTGCTGGAAAGGTTATGATTGATTTACAGCACATTGGAGGGGAATTCGTACACAGTAAAATGATCATTTTACAAGTGCTTTCATGGTGCTCCTCTGAGGATTAATAACCGAGGTTACCAATACAGTATTTAAGTCATAAATAAGGTCTTTTAATTATGCAGCACAATAAAGTGTTCATTGCATAGCATCTTCTGTGCAAGCTGTGTCCCAAAATGCCACACTGAGTTAAGCATCACAAAGCAGCGTGGGACACAAGCTAGAGAGAACAATTGTGGGGAGGCACTGAGGGGTGAAGAAATAAAAGCAGTTTGGGCTAATAACTGAGGAATTAAAAAATGAAAGGGATGTTTTGTTATAGAAGATTACAGTGGGGGGCATTAAAAATCACTAATTAATGGTTTCAGTTTTAAAAAAAACATGCCCACGTCATGGATTACTATTATTTTAATCAAGATAACTTCAGCCTTGGAATAAAAACGGTTTGAAACAATTTCATAGTGCTTAGTGATTTTCAAAAGCATTTCAAATCCCTACCTCTGTGGCTTCTGGTTCAACCATACGGAAGCAGAACAGGAACGCTGGTGGTTACCTTCCTGCTGCAGTCTCTGCTAACTTGCTGTGCAGACACCACTTAAACTGGTGGGAGAGTGCCGTGGATTTGTTCCCAAGAAAACGAGCAATAATAAAAAAATCCAGGAGGTGTCAGTAAGTGGGTCACAGGAGACTACCATTCTGTACCTCTCTCTGCTACTGACCACTTTGTGGCCCTGGGCAAGTCACAGCCCCTCTCTCTTTTCTTGCCCAAACTTTTTCTGCCTTGTCTCTCACTACGTGTCTGTACAGCACCCAGCACAAAGGAGCCCAGGTCTCGGTTGGGGCCTCTTGGTACTACCATAAAATAAATAATCCTAAAATGACTTTTGGGCCTGCTCCTGCTATATGATGAGTGCGCACTACAGGATACCAGGTGCTCTCAACTCCCACTGAAGTATTGCAAGTCCAAAGACTCATAGATTCCAAGGCAGAAGGGACTTTTGTGATTATCTAGTCTGACCCCCTGTATAGCACAGGCCAGAGAACTCAACCCAAAATAATTCCTGGAACTGATCTGTTAGAAAAACATCCAATCTTGACTTTAAAATGATCAGTGATGGAGAATCCACCACAACCTTTGGTAAGTTGTTCCAGTGGTTAATTACTCTCTCTGCTAGATTGATGAGCCCATTATTAAATATTTGTTCCCCACGTAGGTACTTATAGACGGTCATGGAGACACCTATTAACCTTCTCTTTGTTAAGCAAAATAGATTGAATTCCTTGAGCATATGTCTACACTGCACTGTAAGCTCAGAGTTAGTGGGACTCAAGTCATCTGACCCAGGTTAGAGCATCTACACTGATTGTTAACCCTACATTAAGAATTTTCAAACCTGGGGCTCTGGCATCCACACTGCAGCACGCAGACCCGAATCAAACCAACCATACCGCAGACTCCCTACCGCTCTCTCGAAATGTGGCTGCTCTAGGCCTTTGACCGTGGTGCACTACGGGAAAACTTTACAGTGCACCCAGCACGTTACAGGAAGTTTGAACAGCCCACCAACATTGCCAGCCGAGCAACATGGGGAAGGCTCCTTTTCAAGTTCTCTTGCTTGCACTTTCACTCCTGTGTCAGGAAATGGGCAGAGCTTCCGTGAGGCATTAGTGGGCATTTCGGCTGTGTTTTCTGACCCACCAAAGGCATCTGACAGAGCTCAACATGGAGGAGGAGGAGATGTATCCAGGCATGGCAGACTCACACTCGCTCATGCTGCTCATGACACTCAATATAGCCGCTGATGTCTCCTACGTAGGCTGGTGGGATCTCATCATCATGGGCACCTGCGATGACCAGCAGTGGGCCAGAACTTTTGCATGAAGAGAGCTACATTTCTGGAGCTTTGTGGGCAGCTTGCCCCGACCGTCTGGCGTAAAGAGACACACATGAGGGCACCCTTCCCAGTCCAGAAGCGGGTTGCTATAACCATCTGGAAACTGGTTACACTAGACTGCTACAGGTCTGTTGCCAACCCAGTTTGGTGTTGGAAAGTCAATTTGCGGATACATCAGTGGTGGACATTTCTGAGGCAATCAGGTGTGTGGGTTACCCGAAGGTGGTGGGCATTAAAGATTTTCCTGAGGTAATTGCTGGCTTTCAGAGAATGGGGTTTCTATCTGTGCTGGAACCATTGGTGGGACTCATGCCCATAATTTGACCTCCACAATGGTACTATCCCACTGTTATGCCAGCCCTCGTGGACCACAGAGGGAGATTTAGTAATGCCAATATAGGCTGCACTGGGAAAGTTCAAGAGACCAGGGTTCTTTGCTGATCGGAGGCCTACATTCATGGACAGGCTGGGACACTATTCCCACCACACAACATTGTCATCAGTGGAGCTACTGTCCTACTGTTGTTCCGGGGGACCCTGCATTCCCCCTTTTGCCTTGGCTTATGAAACCATACCCTAATTGCAAAGGCCCTGGCAAACGATGGTTTAATTATGCTCTCGGCAGGTGAAGAATGGTGGTTGAATGTGCTTTGGGCAGATTGAAAACCCATTGGAGGCAGCTACAGACCCATTTGGAGGCCAGTGTCATCAGTGCTGTCTCCCTCACTGTGGCTTGCTGTGCTCCTCCCAATCTTTGTGAAGCCAGAGGTGAGCCATTTCCCCCTGAAAGGACCTGTGCGGGCGAGGGGCCACTGAACTGATACACACAGCCAAAAAATGCAGCTACCACAGCTGGAGCTGGCTATGCCCAGGCAACAGAAGTCAGGGATGCTTTGTGCTCCCTTCCATGTTATGGGCGTGTACGGCCCAATGGAAGAGGGAGACTAGCACCTTTATGAATGTGCTTGTGGGCGGGAGGGGAGGGGATTAATTGATTTGGGGGGACTCAGTGCTGCAGGGGTGCTGGTTACCATGCAACGTACTTGCGAATGACAAGACGACTTATGAAATGGGCGGGGGCATGATTCACAGTGTGGATTCGTATAAGGGAGTGATTGAAGTGTGGCTTGCTGAACGGAACCAGATAGAGGCTTAGGGTCTGCTTACTAATTCCTAATTGTCCCTCATCATGTGTTCGCCTTTATTTCAAATTGGATTGTATCATGAGATGCAGGGACAGCAATAAACTTTCTTGATGACATAAAAAGCGTTAGTTGTAAAAATGTATTAAAACCGTACAACATTCACCCATTGCCAGGCAGGCAACACCATAACACCAGTTACAACAAGATCTTTCTAAAAGAATAACAACAAATGAGCATGAAGGGCAAACTGTGAAACCATGTACAAGACAGAAACCCCCTATCATGCCATGTTCCCTGGCTTCCCCCCCCCCCTCCATTCTCCTTTCTCTTTGTTCCCTCTTTTCGCACACTTAACACCGGGGAAAGGGGGTGGAGGCATCCCCAGGAGAAGGGGGTTCAAGACTAAGGCCTGCATGGGACTAAGTTGCTCATGGGACTGATTGCATGGGTCACCCAACCAGGGAGTTTTCCGAGCTGTTTCTGGACTGAGATAATGTTGTAGGGGACTCAGGCCATGGTGTGGGAGAGGCAGCAGGAGCCAATGATCTGGCAGCCAGTATAGATATGAGCCGCTCAAACGGTTCTGTCTGCTGAGCAATGTCCGCCTCCCTTAGCCGCTGTTCCTGTTCCAAGAATTGGGAAGCAAGTGCCTTCTCCAGCGCTGAAACCCTGTCCTCACTCTGTGCAGCCAGCCGGAGTATTTCCGCTTGCCTCTCGCCATGGCTTTTCCCTAGCCGCAAGTCTTTGGAACTGGACCTGCTCATTGACCCTGTCCGGAACTTCAACTGTGAGTTCATCACGGAAACACTTCCTCTTGGAACAGTCCATGGAGGTATGTTGGCCCAGGCTTCTGCTGCAGTGTGAGCAAGCTGTGAAGGTGCTGCAGCCGGTAGACGTTGAGGGGCTTGGAACAGGACAAGACCCAGTGGGTTATTGTCTCCAATAGTTCAGTGCAGGAGCACAGAAAAAATCCTTGTGGAATTTCAAGGACATAAAATGTTACTTTTCCAAACTGAACCTCAGTATATTGTGAAAGGGATACTCCAGACTGAAGTATCTCCCTGGACACAGCCTGCAGGGCAGTGAAATATGTGCAGAGACCAGGGTAAGTTAAACATTCTAAGCTTTCTTCTGGTCTTCGGGAACTTCCCGTGTTCCAAGACTTACTGAAAATTGACATGAACAGTCCAGAGAGCTCTTCAGACAGCTCTTTTAAAACTCTTGGATGCGAATCTTTCAGACTTGCTGATTTTAAAATGTGGATTTGATAGTGGAGTAGATAGAGTTGGCACCTTGTAGGAAGCACGCAGGCCTGTATTTTATATAGTGTCTTTCTTTTAAGCTGTATCCCAGAATTCTGTACTTGCTTAGAAAATTCCGTTATGGAATTGAATAATAGAGGGGGGCAGAGGGGGTGGATAATGAGGTTTTCAGTTCACTGAAAAAAAAGGTTTGGGGTTGAACTGGAAATGAAATTGTTAGAAATTTTTGGCAAACCATAAAGTTAAAAAGAAACAAAAAATCTTCATTTCAGTTAGAACAAAATGATTAGTCTCAAGAAAATAGAATCATTTTTGCTTGTTTCTAATAAAACAAAAGGAAATTTTGAAACGAAGAGTCATTTCGAACCAAAAAGCAAAACATTTAATTTAGGAAAAGTCAAAATGAAATGTTTTGATTTTTTCAGAATTTTTTTTTTTTTTAGTATTTTCGACCCAAGCAATTCAGCAGAATGAGCCCAGTTTGGTGAAACTTTTTGATGTGGCTGAATCTGAATTTTTTTACCAAAAAAAAAGTTTTGGTTGAAAAATCTCAGCCAGTTCTCCTGAATAATAAATGAATATTGACGTCTGTTGATGTGAAATTGACATTAACCCAAGAGGTAAATATTGACTAATATGACCTGCATGGGAAAGAAGGTTTTAGGCGGTCTTAGGCCATTTGTACCATTAGTTGGGTGGCAGGAGATAAGAGCCCAGAGTGGATGGATCAGTGAACTGGTCAGGCGTCCTAGGAGGTTGGCTGCTGTATAAAATGGAGCAATGGTCTGCTGTGGTATAGAACGGGTTTCAAATTAGACAGACCAGTGATCTAGACTGTTGGAGCAAATCCTATGAGCTGTTAGTCATGTGGAACGGCTATTCCAACCCATACCTCTCAACCGTCGTGCATTGTGCAGGGCGTCCCACGCCTGGCCCCGATTTTTAAAGTTGTCCTTCAGTCCTGTGCATTGCCATTGCGAAGTCCCGATTCGGCTGCTCAGCCAGGTTCCTGTTTGTGAGCTGTATGTCTTGGTGCGTGATGTCGTCATACCTCACATTCGCAACCAGTCACTGCCACGCTGCAAGCAAGTGGAGCAAGGGACGCCTTGAGGGCTTCCCTACACTGGGGGAAGGTGCCCAAATTCCTCTCAGAGCTTGAGATCAAGGACATCCTTCAGGCACCCGTGTTGGCTCCCAGGGCCAAGGAAGGGGCAGCCAAGCAATTGCTTAGCACCTCTCTGGACTGCTCTTCAGTCACCTGCTTCCTTGAGTAGTTGGACATGGAGCTGCCTGTGCTGGAGCTGGGCTGGCTGGGTTTCTCCAATGGCTTGGACTGCAGGCTCAGGTGAGTGGAGGCACATTTCCAGTCCAGCTTCGGGGAGACCATCTGCAGCTGCAAGGATGTGGTTCGCAGGCAGATCCGTTCTGCCAGGGAGGGGGATCCCCTGCCCATGCTCTTCCCTGCAGCCAGGGCCGTCAGCATCCCTGGGGAACTGAGGGGCCACTTCATTGATCCACCTGCTCCCCTTTCCTATGAGCTGCAAACTTGGATCAAGAAAACTGGAGTTGCCATAATACCTGCCCCTGTCACCTCACTCCACAGTTTGGAGCTTGATCTTAACTATATGGGTTCATCCTAACATTCTTTCTGTATTATTGTATTTCATTAGTATAAAAAATCACTAATTTGCTTTAATGCTTTGCTCTTCCAAAACCCGTGACACTCATGGTTGAAGGTAAAGGCCAAGAACCAGACTCTAAAGAGACAAGTGCTCGCATTATTTTCATCTTAGCATCTTAAGTATGCTTTTAGTGCACAGAATCATTATTTAGTTTCATCATAATAAGTTCCAGGCTATTTGTATGCTTGTACTTTGATTTACAAACAAACCCAGTGTGTCCAATAAAAAAAAAATTGTCCCTCATTTTAAAGTGGGTTGTCCCTCATTGTCTCTCATTTTGAGTGTCACTGTCCCTCATTTCAGAGTCTGGGGTTGAGAGGTAAGTTACAGCCTTTGAAAATACAGTGAATTCATCGGCTGAACTCCAATCCGTCTGTATTGCTCATGCTGCTAAAATTACTTCCCTTCCTGCTCTTCTGTTTGGATAATTCAGCTTTTAATCTGCCACCTGAGGCACTAAGCAGCGAGTTTATAAATTGTTAAGTATTTTAGACCTCCAGGGAAAAATGTCCAACTTGTATGGCTTCAGGCTCCACCTCCTGTCCTTGTGTTGAAAGTTCAGCTTTCCTCGAAATGGATTTATAAATCATCATTCCTTTTTCTATTGCTGACACTGTTGTCTCAAGCAAGGTTCCACAGGTGTCTAGCTCTCACAGGATATAACCTTCAGCAGAGACTGCTTACAACATAAATTGGTGGTATGAATAGAGGAAAAAAGGGGACGAGAAAACCCCCCTCAAATTCCTTCCAATCTTTAACAAATATATGAAACAAGTTTAAACTTCACATGGCATTAATTCTTGTTTTTCCCCAAGTGCCTGAGTTTGGGTGGTTTTATGTCAGAGGAGAGATGTATGCTCCTATTGCCTACAGTTCTGCAAACATCGAGCGCTAGTCCTTTCATCTCGCTTTCACATTGTCAGGTTAAATTATGAAGAACATCTAGACCAGGGGTCGGCAACCTTTCAGAAGTGATGTGCCGAGTCTTCATTTATTCACTCTAATTTAAGGTTTCGCGTGCCAGTAATACATTTTAACGTTTTTAGAAGGTCTCTTTCTACAAGTCTATAATATATAACTAAACTATTGTTGTATGTAAAGTAAATAAGGTTTTTAAAATGTTTAAGAAGCTTCATTTAAAATTAAATTAAAATGCAGAGCCCCCCCGGACTGGTGGCCAGGACCCGGGCAGTGTGAGTGCCACTGAAAATCAGCTCACGTGCCGCCTTTGGCACACGTGCCATAGGTTGCCTACCCCTGATCTAGACCTTGGATTTGGGGGTCAGAGCCTGTCCCCTCTTTATCTCTCTGTAATATTTGACTGCTACAGCATTTTTAGTTCTTAAGAGAAAAGTTCTCCCACATGAATTCTAGGGAGAAGCTTCTACGGTTTCATGTTTCACCTTGGATGTATTCCTGACCCAAAATCATAATGTCCTGTTATATAAACTCCATACGTACACATTTAAATCTGGCCTGATCTATGATCTGTAAGTGAATGCACAGCAATATCTTTTGATCAGTCAAGAATGGCCTTGCCCTTCTTTTGTATCAATATAAACTGTCCAGGCACAGTGTGTAATGATGAGACCCACAAGACAACAACAGAAGGGTGGTTTCAGGAGGTCATTGTACAATAGAGACACAACACAGTGGATAGTCCTGGTTTCTAGGCCCAGCTTTACCCCTGATCTGGTGTGTGACCTTGGTTAAGTCACTTCATCTCCCTGAGCCTTAGTCTCACCATCTGTAAAATGGGAATAATGATACCTTTGTAAAGTGCTTAACACAAGAATCTGGAATTATGGGAAGTGTGGGTTGGGCCTCCGTAGCTAAGGCTGCATCTAGACTTCCATTCTAAGCCCTATTATGGTGTGACCAACCCGTGTGATTTTATTATGAATCTCACAATATTTGGTGGAGTTTGTTTCACATAATCCTGGAATTCAAACTTGTGAATTTCCCTTTGTTCAAAATGGCCACCACTTCCCCTTGCTTTCAATAGGGCTGAAGCCAAACCTCCCCCAGTCAAGATGGCAGTAATTCCACAATAGCTTTGCATGCAAAAGTGAGGCTGCCTCTAGTGAAGATGGCCGTCCCCTCTGCTTTCAGTGAAGCCAGGCTGCCCTCAGGGAAGATGGCTGCCACTTTGTGATTAGGAGGCTGGATAGGAAACTATGAGGAGGCAGGGGAATGTGGAATCCCCAAAGTCTGTGGTGGTTTGGATCAAATATACGTAGCCAGATGAAAGTGTAAATAAACCTATGTGAGGTTTGGCGGGGTGGCTGGGGAACTTGCAGCAAAAAGTCTTTAAAAGGTGTAGATATATGTACTAAGGGTTCAAAAGTCGCCAAGTGATTTAGATGCCTAAATCCCATTTTCACAAGTCACTTAGGAGCCTAAAACTCATTGAAAGTCAATAAGTCTCCGGCTTCTAAGTCCAAGTGGGAGTTGGGCATCTAAATCCCTTTGAGGATCTGGGTGCTAAAATGTACAGTTCAGCTAAACCAAGACGCACCGCCCAGAAAGCTGGCACGCTCTGTCCATCACCTTTATGGGCCTGCTTAATTCTTTCAGGTAAAAGTGACGATGAAGAGAGTCTATGCAAAATGGGCCACGGTCCCGGGAAAGGTGCCGAGGACAGCAAGGATCACAAGCGTCCCAAGAGACCCAGGACAATCCTGACAACGCAGCAGCGGAGGGCATTCAAAGCGTCATTCGAGGTCTCCTCCAAGCCATGCAGGAAGGTACAATGATAAGAGAACCGTCCGCATGTTGGAGATGTCGAGCCAGATCCTCAGCCGGTGTCACTCCATTGAAGCCACTGGGGCGGTGCTGATTTACAGTGGCTGAGAATCTGGCCTGCTCTGTCTCTGTTGCGTGTGTGTGTGTGTGTGTGTGTGTGTGTGTGTGTGTAGTATAGTT